TCTCTTATACGCAGAAATTCGGCTCATGCAACAAATGATAAGACAGGAATTCAACAATCCCCGACTTAAGCCTCTTATAAAAAAGAGCATTTTTTCAATGTAAAGCTTGCACCGCCCACAAGCATCAAACGAGCTCTCAAATTATGGTGGCGTTGCTACCAGAGCGTTGCACTTACGCTCCGCCTTTCACCCCCACCGGTGTAGATTTTGCTGGGCCTTTTCAAGTAAAAGCCTCCATGCTAAGGTGCTCCACCATTGTGAAAGGCTACGTGGCCGTATTTGTGTGTTTCACGACAAAGGCGGTTCACCTTGAGCTGTGCTCTGATTTAACAACAAACGCATTTCTCGCCGCGTTTGCCCGTTTTGTTGGGCGTCGATGCTATCCAGCAAGAATGATGAGCGACAATGGCACTACTTTCATTGGAGTCAAAAGAGTAACAGAGAAGGAATTCTGTAGTTTCCTGCAAGAAGTCTCTCAAGACATCGTCAAGCAATACTCTCCCCAAGGCATTGATTGGAGATTTATCCCCCCTGGCAGCCCTCACATGGGCGGATTATGGGAATCCGCCGTCAAAAGCCTCACGTTACATCTCAAATGAACGGCTGGAGCACACAATCAATTCACGTTTGAAGGATTCACCACTCGTTTAGTTACGATAGAAGCGGTATTAAATTCCCGTCCCATCTCCGCTCTCTCCTAAGATCCAACAGAGTTCACGGCCCTCACCCCTGGCCATTTCCTAAGGGGAAGGGGAACTGCCCTCCTGTCTCTTCCGGAAGTAGATCATAGCAATTTGTCTCTCCTCAATAGGTGGGAAAAAGTTAAAGTTATGCACCATCAATTCAGCCGCCGTTGGAAGGAAGATTATCTCAAAGACCTTCCGAAACGTTAAAGGGGTAAAGACACTAAAGTTTCACCGAAAGCTGTAGAATGCGTCCTCATTATAAATGACATGTTGCCGCCCACCGAGTGGCGTCTTGGACGCATCGAAACGACCCATGCCGGTCCAGATAGACATATTAGCGTAGTTGACGTACGCACCAAAACCGGCATACTCACTCGGACGATTGTAAAGCTATGCCCTTTGCCATCCGAAAATGTCCCTCTAACCCCCACCGCAGATAACTAAACAACTTTTCACCGACCGTACTACACCCGCACTGCTTGCCTACATTTGTTTATTACAGTTACTTGACAGGCAATACACGTATATGCTTATCCCTCTGTTTGATTAACCACTGTTTAACATCCCACTATTAACCTACTCGAAAAACCCCTATTTGAAGATGGAGATTGATATCCCTCAGCCCGCACCACGCACATCGTTGACGGCAAGGGCGCTCGCGCCCGTAAGTGAACCTGTACGCGCCACAGAGACCGCCGTGGAACAACTTCCCCCGGACGACACGCCCGTAACTAACTTCCAGCAGTACCGTCTATGTACGCGCCGCCACGCTCTCCGAGTATGCAGCGTTTTCCGGGCCCTACAGCCCCAGCAGAGGGTTACAATCGCGCGCGCGCACCGATATTGCACTCTCACACCGGACCGTGGACAGTTCCTACAATGGGAACTGCCGAACGTGTGGACAGTTCCACCATACGCTTCTGTACCGCAGCGAGGCCAACGCATCTAGTCGCCGAACCATGCACTCAGCACAACCTCCAAAGGGAGTCCATCGAACAAAGAACACATTTATGAAATTTCAGCGCAATCACCGCGCCATCAATGGCCCTCGTTTTCTCCGCCCTTCACTTCAGAACACACTTCAGAAGGATATACTAGCCGCTTGGCGCATCTGTGCGGGGCTGGATGGCTACGCGAGTATAGCCCAGCGAGTCACATCAGTATTTGAATTACGTTTTCGAATTGTACCTATGAATTGTATTGAATTGAATTGTATTTGAATGAATTTCACCTTTTTTGAATTTAAAATGTATATACATCCTACATATATAAACATGTTATGCGTTAATACCACCACACCGAGGGAAATAATGCATAGTAAAAATGAATACTTTATATTTGATTATCGTTTAAAAATGTTCGCATTTAAAAATAATATTTTCATACAAAATTTATTACGTACGTATTTGACTGTTCACATCTGAGTATATATATGAGTGTACATACGCACCCCAGGCATGCAGAGCGCCGCTCTGAGAGCGGTGACAACACACACATCCATACATAGCATGATTCAATAATACAAGGTTAGATAATTATTGACAGCCACGGTTTGACACTCCCCTACAAAAGGTTGCATTTACGAAGGACGGAGGAAGGAGAAGAATGAAATCCCTTGGTGCGAAAATGGTAGTAGAAAACTACGCAAAGTCGGCAATTAGTAGTGAAATTCCTTTTGTAAATTCCAACGTATTTGCAGGAAATCTGGCATTTTAAACGAAATATGGTCTCAGAATTAAAATAAAACTACTATGAGATTTAAGTAAACATCCAATTTAAAAACAATTTATGTTTTAATCAGTTAAATGTGCTTCATATGCATATACAAATAAACATATTGCACAAAAGCTTATTCTTCTAATTCACACCAAAGCTACACTTTTCCCAAGTGAATTTGCAAAGAAGCAACACGGTGCCGCTGCTAAGGGAGCGGTGCGAGAGAGACAACTGTCAGTTTATCGAACCTTGTATTATTAAATCATGATATATGACTGCATACCAAATTTCAAGTTCATGTGACTTACAGTTTCGAAGTTATGGCTGATTAAAAATTTCCCGCCTATGGGAGGTGCCACGCCCCCTTGTCGAATCCCAATTTTTTACCTTATTATAGGCCCAGGTGTCATGGCAATACTCTGTCAAAATTTTGTTCGATTCTGTCCGTCCGTTTAGGCTGCAACCTGGCACATACATTCATACATACATACTTCCACAAATATATAGTAGATATATCCTTCTCTTAGCGTAACATAATTTTTGGGGATGTCTCGGCCACAGGGCCACCTATCGTGTAAGTTTCAAGTCCAAATATTTCTTTTAAATTGGCTAAATTGTTTTCTAAATATGAGCCAAATCAGCAAGTAAATACAATTTTTATGAATATCCCGACCCCAGCGCCACCAAGCGATTAAATTTTTAGTCAAAATATTTCTCTTCAAGATGCTGAAATATGTTCCAAATATGAACGAAATCGGTCCAGCCGTTTCGTAGTTTAGTGACATTCAATATACGGAAAACACTATGAAATTGTGTAATCGTGACGTCTCAGCTTTCTTCATTTTTCGGCAACAACAAAAAATTAAAAAATTTTTTTAATCAAAGAACCTTCCATACAGAAGGCCCAAAAATGTGCTTTTTACAGAATTAAAATCGGTTCAACCGTTCGGTCAGGCATCGCCGTCATAGGAAAGACATTTTTATATATATAGATTATCGTCGACAAAAACGTTGTTTTATATGTTTTTCGTGATTGTAAACTTTTGCAGGCTAAAATTTTTCCAGCATGAATTTGCAACTTCTCTCCAGGAGAACTGTCACTTTGCGCACAGTTTTTGAGTGATGGATAATTTTTTGGTCTGCACAAACGCGATTTGGGCAAAAATCATGATAATTCGTAAAATTTTTTTGCTCGACGAACAAAACTATTGCTAAGAAATTAAATTCTATCCAAGTACCGATTTTAAGGCTTTGATTTTTAGTATTTCGTCCCGCTAGATTCTTAGTGGTCGGAATAAGTAGGCACTAAAAACTCTTGGATATCAACATTCATAAATATTTAAAATTTTTTTAGGAATCCATCCACCATATTGTATCTCTCATTTTGAGTATTTAAAAACTGATTTCAGGTTTGTAATGAGCGAATCAAAGAACCTTCTCATATTAAATTTTAAAAAATATCTATCCACCTTTTGAATTTTTAAAAATTTATTTCAGTTTTGTAATCAGCGACAGCGAAAGAACCTTTGGATATCAAATTTCATAAAAAGCTGAAAATTCTTTTTAATCCATCCATCATTTTGAATTTTTTAAAGCTCAGTAAAGCTCGGAATCTCATGCAAATGCCTGTTTTTATTGGGCACCTTCAAATGGAAATGGTTTTGTTATCTTTACGAATCATGAAGTTTCCTTTAAAATGGCATTCAATCGTTAGTGCATATATTTGCATATTTACATATTTTGCAAAAAAAAAACGCTTTTGCATATTCCAACGCATATTTTAGTATATTTTGCAATAAATGTATAAGGTTTTCGCATATTTTTGCTTTTTTTTATTTACAACCATTTAAATTTACCTGTTAGATCTCAATTAGTGGAACCCTGTAGGAGAGATCTGACCTATATCTCTGATCAATGCGAAATTACCCTAATATGAGTCCTGGGGCATAATAACATTTACGGAAACGAGGCAGCGGACGAACTAGCACGGTGCGGCTCCGCACTGGATATGTCCCGCGCGGTGGACATGGGCGCTGCAGTATGCACAGGGCACTGGCCCGTTGGGGTACATTCCGAAAGGTTTGGATTGACCTTCAAAAGGTTTCGTCATGGTTGCGACGACCCTGGCGAGACATTCGAACACTTCCGGTGCGAGTGTCCAGCCCGCAAGAATAAGGCTAAATACACTCTGCAAGCCATTCCTGCAGAATGCAGCTGCCTCTCCCCGTTTTCGTTATTTTCTTGTTAAAATGTATTATTTATTTATTTTTACTGGCAAAAAAATATCAGGAAAATATTTTTAATCGCATTGTTTATAGCGCATATTTTTTAATTTTTAGTGCGTATTATATGCGCATATTTTTGATTTTATAGTGCATGCGATTCCGGGCCCCCAGTAATCAGCAACCCCAACACTTTTTGGATGCGAAGTTTAATAAAGTTTAAAAAATCAAAAGGCAAATTTCTTTTGGCCGATTCAGCCTAGGGGTTATTAAGGGTTGTTTTTCTCCATAGAATGGAGTACAACAATGTTTAATTTGTCGGACGGTGTTATGGTTAGTTCATACCTTTTTTTATCATATTATGGGTGGCACTTACCTTTGTTGTATTTATTTGTTCAGGAACAAGGCACTTTTCCATAAAACTTATAAATAAGATGTCCATATAATGCAAACGGTAAAAATTTAGTTAATGGATGTTTTATATTATCATCTAGTCGCGCAAAATTACAAATTTACTAACAATGTTTCAGAACTATGTCAATTTGACTTAATATCTAAGCCTCCCAGGGCGCTTTCTAAAACCGAGATTAGTTTATCGTTGCTAGAAATTTTCGATGATTTTGTGGTTCGCATTGTGGCATTCTCCAATGCCCATTGCGCCATTTTTTGGGCTTCCCTACGTTTTGATACCACGGCGCGGGAATTGGCTATGTAACTGCAACACTGAAAAAATATATTATAATATGAATTCATGACGATAAAAATCATCTACTTACAAGATATAGCCCATATAGTGCCCGCAAGTTATTTGGATTTAATTTGAGAGCTTGCGAATAATAGGTGCGAGCGATTTCCACATTCTCGATTCCACCCTAAAATCAAAAATAGAATTATCATATATGTATATTCCCTTATGTATACACATATTCAGTACACGTCGAAATAATAAGGTTGTCCTGATATTATCTAGCAGAATACAAAACGATTTTTGTTTTACCACGGTTATATCAACTCGCAGTAATGTAGTGGTTAAAAGTGCGCAATACCATTCCGCAGGGCGTGGAATCGAGCCCAGTTTCCGACTAACATCAACAACAAAAGAAAAGAAAAAAAATTTTATAATCGCGGTAGCCCCGGCATGTTTCATGGTCGGTTTCACACTGGAACAGTTCTGCCACGAGAACAACTCAGTTTGTAGGCAAGAGAGGCAGTGCGGTGAGGTAAAGTTTCTCAAAATGTTGTTCCAGCTTCTACCCCGCATTAAAGTGGCAGTTCTGCTGCAGCGCACCAACACATGCGCAACTACGAAAATGCCCCCTGAAGGAAAGATGGGTCCAATTGCTCGAAAAATATAGTCGTAGGTATAGTAGCTTTGTAACTAGACCAAAGATAGTCCAAAAATTTAAAGCAATGTAATGTAAAACAGGAGAATTGTACTGAAAGTGGTCCAAATGTAATGCGTAAGGTATGAGTTTTGATCTAAAACTGGTTACAATGTCATGCAATTGCGGAAAACGGGTACAATTAACGACTTGCTGATATGTAGGCACTTAGTCAGCAAATTCTCATGTGCGACTTTGGCAAGCGGAGAGAGTATCCGCTTAGAAAATCTGAGAACCCCGGTTCGAATCGAGGCTGGCGCAAGTTTTATTTTTGTTTTTTCCCAAAATTGGTTACAATGTAATGCAAAAGCGGACAATTGGTCCGAGCCTAGGACATTCAGTGTTAAATGTAAATAGAATTTTACATGTTGTTGGACCAAACTTTGGACTAGTTACAATCACTTGCAGTCTATTTTGTGGTGTACTCTAAGCCTATTCCGAGATCCACAGGGTATACACATTTTATTCTGCTGTTGTTCTGCTAGTTTTCATCCAGTGTGAAATCATGAGAATTATGTGTTCGATTATAGTGTGAAAGAGCCCAATTCGATTTGATTCGAATTTTTTTGAACTTTCAAAATAAATATTTTTATTAAAAATCTAAATGTTTGTTTGTAAGAATGATAACACAATTCGAAAAAGAGATTCAGTTGAACTTATATTAATGTGATTAACTATCCATATCGCTCTTCTTAGCTTCACAACCAAAAATAAATACAAATAATATTTTTTTTTTTTTTTAAAGTATCTCAAAAAAATATCAGAAAATCCTAAAATTTAGCAAATGTAGCATATTGAAACTAATTTTTTAGGACGTATAACGTGATTTTATTTATTTTTCTTGCTTTACACAACCTACCTAGATCTCTATATACTTCACGATAAATACACTGAGAAAAAAATCAACCAAAAAGTGGTTAATATTACCAAATTCAAACTTGAAAAGGAACCAACTTGATTTTAGGTTAATATTAACAATGCCTTGGTGGATATTTTTAACATTTATTTGGTAATGTTAACCACACTTTTGTTTACTTTAACCAAACTTTTGGTTGTCAATTTTTCCGTTTGAATACACTTATGTTCTGCACTTCACAGATGCTTTTTCATAATTTGGAGATACAAAACAAAAATTTTTATTTTCGTTTCAACACGTTGCCTCTGGCGGAATTTGTACCCGCATTTTCTGAAAGCTAGCATATAACAGCAAGCATCTCTGCAAACTCAGCTACAGTCGCTTTATAAATGTGTCTTCAAATGTTCAGGTTAGGATAGGTTAGGAGGGCGTGAGTAGAATAATCTATACTTTCACTCGGAGACAGAATTGTCCATTGTGAGTGCCCTCTTTTAGTGAGTGTCAGAAGGAGACACATACCTATATCGAAAGAGTACCTTTAAGTCATTACTGAACCAATTACTATCCCTGATGAGGCCGAGGAGACCCAAGAGTTCCACCTCTGCTACTTCGCCCAGACTGTTGAAAAAGCGTGAACCCAAGTACTTGAGTCGCTCCGTCTGTAGACCTGGATATCGACACAGATACAAGAATGATAGAATACAAGATTGAATGAGAATGTGCCGAATGAGTGTCCGGCATGCGGAGAGACCCCACATGACTCGAGACATCTCTTCGCATGCCCGGAAAACCCGACAACCCTAACGGCCTTGTCCCTGTGGACAAACCCCACAGAAGCTGCACGCTTCCTAGGGTTGCCGTTAGTGGAACTTGACGACAACGACTGAGATACCAACCGTCCTGGGCGGGGTTGTTGTAGCCGCTACAACAACAACAACAACAACAAGAATGCGCCGATTGCAGCAGAATTGAGTAATGAGAGTAATTTTGGCGTGACGTCATCGTAGAGTTAACAACTGAGAGCGGCGAGAATAAGCTGTCATAATTAGTGCTGCCAGTTTAGCCGTTTTCCGGCAAGGTTTAGCCGGTTGCGATAGCAAACAGCCGGAGAAAATTCGATTTAGCCAGCAGCCGATTTGTTAGCCGTTTTGCAAAAAAAAAGTTAGCCGATTGCGCTATTTACCGTATTTTATTAAAATTGAAATTAGACTGCATCACCAAAAAAAAGTTGCGCTTTTTCCGCCGGGATTGCAAAATTTGTTATATTTCATGACGTCCACCAAAATATATCGGAAAAATATTAAGATTTAATCGGGCTGGACCGATTTGAAAATACCTCCAAAAATGGAGTTTTTTATGAATAAAAATAGTTTCTTAAAGAACTCTTTGAAAAAGGTCTCCTCAGATGACAAAAGAGATTAGGCTTAAAAAATCTGCATAATATTTAAAAATCTTTTCAACGGAATCGTAATAATGAGATTTTTGATGCTGCTTTTTTACTTTTATCAAAGACTGATTTACGAAAAACTGGGCCAGTGGGATCGTCGGTTCGAATCCTACTGAAAGAAGTCTGATGAGGAAATGTGGTGATTTCCGAAATAGCTATCACTTCCACCATTTTTTCAAATTATTGTTGCTTTTCCACAATAAGTTTTTCATTAAAAACGGCCTCAAGCTCAATAAAAATAGTTGAATATAATTGTTATAAGGCCATAAAATAACAAAAACAAATAACTTAAGTACGAGCATAACTAAAAGCTACACATTCTAATAATAGAATTATTAACAAAAACCAACAAGCGTTTTAGAACGCTCGACATTTGCAGTGCTGCCATATTAGCATTTCTGAACGTTCTGCTGGTCGTGCAAAAGCAGTATGCGCATTATACTGCATTACTGAACACACCCTTATATGGTGTTTGTTAAGTAATCAGCTAATTTTTAATAAAAATAATAATAAACATTAAATAAACTAAATAAAAATAGGCAAAACTTGCTAAAATCTCGCGTCTCATTTTATATTTGGGTCACTTTATTTTTTCCAAAGAATGGCTTAAATTTAAGTGCGAAGTTTTATTAGCAACACATGGAAAATAATGGAGAGAATAAAAGAGCACGAACATCGATGTGAAGCACAACTCTCTGGGAAGACAATACCTGTGTATAATTGTATCATGGTGCCAACATACGTTATTGTTTCTTATGATTGCTCTCAGACAGGCATGTGAGAGAATGAGTTGGACATTAAAAACAGGAGTCTCGATAATATGGACATCAAAATACAATTAGATAGTGAAATTGTTAAAAACTTAAAAAGCGACCGGCTTATTCGATATAAATTAATGACATTTTCTTTTCTCGAAATAATGTTGGCCTCTTTTCTTCAGCCCTTTCACAGCTTCACGTGTTCATTTTTCAAAATATTGCCCTCCGACTGAGCAAAATACTTTCTACTAATATTGGGGTAAGGCTTAATCAAATGGGTCCCGAATTTCTTCTTCTTCTTATTTGGTGCTGTAACAAATCACGCCAGTCTTTTGTTTTCTGTGCCAACTGGTGCCAATTGGAAATGCCAAGTGAAGCCAAGTCCTTTTCCACCTGGTCTTTCCATTACAGTGGGACCCTTCCTCTTCATCTGCTACCAACAGCGGGTTCCGAGTTGAATACTTTCAGAGCGGGAGCGTCGGTGTCCATTCGAACGACATGACCAAGCCAGCGGAGCTGCTGTATTTTAATTCGCTGACCTATATCCATGTCTTTGTAAAGCTCATACAGCTCATCGTTCCATCGTGTGCGGTACTCGCTGTCACCAACGCGTAAAGGCCCGTAGATCTTCCACAAAATCTTTCTCTCGAATACTCCAAGAGCCGCCTCATCGGATGTTGTCATTGTCCATGCTTCTGCGCCATATACCAGCACGGGCATGACGAGTGACTTATAGAGTGTGGTTTTCGTACTTCTAGAGAGGACTTTACTCCTGAATTGCCTACTCAGCTCAAAGAGGCACTTGTTGCCAAGAGTGATTCTGCGTTGGATTTCCATGCTGACATTATTATCGGTGTTAATGCTGGTTCCCAAGTAAACGAAATTCTCTACTTTCTCGAAATTATAACATGGGTGCCAAGCCGCGAATGTGCTGTTTGTTTGATGACAGGAGATACTTCGTCTTGTCCTCGTTTACCACCAGACCCATTCGCTTGCTTCCTTATCCAAATTGGAAAAGGCAGAACAGACTTCGGCATAAGCCAGCAATTGCACGCTCTTATAGTAAATTGTTCCTGAGCGGTTCAGTTCTGTAGCTCTTATTATCTTCTCCGACATCAAATTAAAGAAGTCACATGAACTGTCGGTGCTGATACCATTCAGTATCGTGGAAAAGTGTCCCGTCCATAATATAATTACGTTCTGAACATCGGTAACTGAGTCGCCTTTGTGGTTCTTACAGGAGTACGCCCTGGTCTTGAAACCTTCCGTAAGTCGCCTAACTCTCTGGTAAAATTTTCGAGCATTCTTCCTGTCGGCCAGCATTTCAAGCTCTTCGCACTCACGTATTTCGGCCTCTCTTTTTATTGCGGCAAATACGTCTCGCTTCCCTCTTCAGATGCGGGCATGCGAAATTCGAACATGAGAAATA